GGGGGGGGGGGGCTGATCAGAGAAAGGGAGGCCAGAGGGAGGCTAGGGCATTAGTTTAGGTGAGAGTCAAACAAGGTCTGAACCAGGGCCCTATGGGCAGAGACAGAGTGTAGGGGACTGAGAAGAGAAATCCTTAGGAAGTCTGACTTGCCTCTTACTGGCTGCTGTCTCTCAGAGCAAATTATCTTACTTTTCTGAGCCTTCATTCCTTTATCTGAAAAACAGAAATACCACCTACCCTTACAGGATTATTGAGAAGATTAAATGAGATAATCTACGTCAAGATCCTATTAAAACCTGGCATAAAGTAGGCAATCAACAAATATGAGTTCTTTCCTATTCTTCCCATTCTTCCCTTAAGAATTACTTATTTCTGTTCTCCTATGGTAGATTATAAGCTCCTGGAAGGCAGAGACCATTTCTCATTATCACTGTATCCCCCCAGCATTAAACATAAAATATGTTCAATACATGTTTATAGGATGAATAAAGGGTCAGTTGGCTTCACAATGTAAGAAAATCTTGTTTCTGTAGGCACAAGCTGACCCTGGCCCTCATATCAGCTTCCTTAAGATAGGAGTAGTCTGATCACAAATGGGAGAGTGAGCAATGGCATCCATCAACACTACCCTGAAAAAACACCTCAGAGCGAGCATAACTCCTGCTGACTGAGAATAAGCAGCATCATTAGCAAGATGTCCTTTGTCTTATGGAGAAGGAACCAGTGTGTGATTGACTTCCACCCATTTGGCCTTCTCAGGGTGACAGAAGCAGAAATGATGCTTTTAAGAAGCAGTGAGGCTCTCTGCAGCCTTCATGTGCTTCCTTGTCAGCCACACTGCTGTTGCACTGGTGTCAAGGTTCCTTTGTGTAAGACAGGCATCGACAGGGTTTCATTTCTTCGTGACACCCATTCAGGTTTCCCTAAGCCCTGGATCAACCGAGATGGCCTCTGAGCTAGGTGAAGGCTTAGGAATCTCAGACCCTATATATCATCTGGTCACTGAGCTCTGTCTCCTCAGGCCCCTATTTTAAAGGCAGGGTCTATTACTATCTGGGGGAATGCAGACTTTCTTGATATTCCACTGCCTTCACTAAGGCCAGTGATGCGATAGGAGGGGTGAATGTCTGAAATAATTCATACCAAGATGCCTTTGCTAAGGAAGATCACTAAAATGGCATTTTGATGGAGGTTCTTATGGGGAGCTGGAGTGGCATTAGACAAATGCACAGCCTATCCAAGCATCTGCCCTTCCCATACCTCAGCTTCAAGCAAACAAAGTCAGTTTGATTCAGAAAGAAATCCAAACCACATGCATGTACCCCACCCAAGGCAGTCTCATTCATTCTTGCCAATTAAAAAAAAAATTACAGTAGAGCTCCAAAACAGACTGGGCTACCCCCTCCCCCAGTCCCCCTCCTAGAGAAGAATGGCTCCAGCTACAACATGTGTGACTGTGGTCACACAGCTTGCAAAACTCCCAATACCCCAGAGACTGCAGAAGTAATCTGCACCCTGAACTTGGACCTGGGGGCCTGCAGCACAATTAACTGTGTACCAGGGTAGACAAGTCGGCTAGAATCTGAGTGCATGTTTGCTTTACTCCTTTTTGGGAAGAAAGGGGGTGGGGGATGTGGGGTAGATGAAGACTATTGGCACATCTGAGGCTTCAACAAAGTCAGGCTACATCGAAACAGCTCATGCAATTATAGGCACATTCCCCAACCCAAGATACCGTTCTGTGAACCTCCCACTTTACACACAGAGAATTCTGCTCTGTCATTCCATCTGCAGTTTCTGCTGCAGCCCTTCCTGCCACCCTTCCCACAGATTTCTTTAGAAGCAGGTGGAAAGGGAGGTGGAGGGAGCCTAGAGGGTGGTGGCTGCTGAAGAAAGGGTTGAGGGGAAGAATCTATACCAAAAAGGAGCCTCTCTTTGGGGAGAGGGGGGTGGGATGCATTTTTGCATTACCTAGGGAAGGCAGATGGGGGAGAAATAGGAACACGGGAGAAGGAAACTAAATAAAGAGCACCAACGACCCCTGAGGGCAAAGCACAGGCTCTCTGCGGCACTCACTCAGGCTGCCCAGCTGTCGGATGACATTTGCCAGGGTGATGTTGGTCACGCATTCCAGCTCGCTTCTAACGCTAGGCAACGTCTGACGGCACAGGTGCCTTGGCTCGATGTTCCTCGTTACTAACGGCATGGTGGACCTGCTTCAGGCAATGTTCTGAATGATGAAAAACAACCTAAAAAAGAAATAACAGGAAAGTATTACTCAACCACAAATTCCAGGCACACTAGGGCTGTATGAGTCTTTTTTTTTCTTTGGTCTTGCTCTGATCTAAAACAGCTTTAAAAATTCTTCTCTCTCCCTATCTTTCTTTTA